AATCCCAAAGGCATGAAAGCACAAAAAGAATACAGCATGCTCAAAGAATAGTGAGGATTTTATCTGAGTCCATCTGATGGTGCCTAGGGGGTACTGGCAGCGAATGATCTGTAGAAGGTAAATGGGGAGCCCCAGATAAGAAATCACATATTAAGGAGTTTGAAATTTTGCTGTAGGTAATGGCAGCCCTGTGAAATTTTTTTTATTGATGTGTTTTACAATTGTGAAAATTAGAAAAGGAGCCTACATAAATATCAAAGAGTTAACATGCATAATAATTGCTGGTATCCTAACATTTTAAATTTGAACTTAATTCTCCCTTGCCTCTACTCTTATTTTATTTTTCTTCTTCTTTTTCTTTTTTTCTTTTTTTTTTTTTTTTTTTTTTTTGGTGAATGCTTCTTCGACATCTTATTTTTATTGTGAAATAAAGGAAATAAAGGGGAAATACAGAAAAGCACACAAAACAGATGCATGACTTCATAAAGTAAGGTGTACAACCTTTTAACCACCACCACACATCAAGAAGTCAAACTGTGCAAGAACTCCCCGACCCAAACCACTCCAAATATCCCATACCAATTGCAATTCCCTTCCCCCCACCCAAGTAACCATTATTCTGGCTTTTACAGTAATTATTTCCTTGCATTTTTCATTGTTTATCACTGAGATGCATCTTTATGTGTTCATGTGCATCCTTAGGTGTTAAAGTGTAGTCTTGCCCCTTTATATATTTTTAATGTCTTTTGTGTTTTCATCTATAACCTATTTTTGTTATAGTTTATCTGTTGAAAAATCCAAGAGTTTTCCCAATCTGAATTTTGCAAATTGCATGTTCAATTGCACACTTCAACTTGTTCTTGTCTTCTGTTTTTCTGAAAACCAGGAGCTAATTAAGATTTGAGTTTAATCCCTTTAACATGACTATAGGTAGTGTTGTGTGCTTCCATCAAGAGGTATGTAATGTCTGGCTGTCTTTTTAATGATATTAGCAGCTAGTCATGCAAAATACCTATATGTATTCATTCATTAGGCGCTGCAACACAGTGATGTTAATTCTTTCTTCATCTATGAGTTGGAATATGTTTATACAGTGATATTTTCCCTCATTTACTATTTGACTACCTAGTGTTACAGTTCATATAGGAAACCAGAATACTTCATCCTTTCACTTTATTAGCTTTCAAGATAATGAATTGGTTCCCTATTGATATGGTTTGGCTGTGTCCCCACCCAAATCTCATCTTGAATTGTAGCTCCCACAATTCCACGTGTTGTGGGAGGGAATGGATGGGAGGTAATGGAATCATGAGGGCAGGTCTTTCCTGTACTATTCCCATAATAGTGAATAAGTCTTATGAGATCTGATGGTTTTACAAAGGGTAGTTTCCCTGCACAACCTCTCTTCTCTTGTCTGCCATATGAGACGTGTCTTTCACCTTCCACCGTAATTGTGAGGCCTCCCCACTCGTGGAACCTTAAGCCCATTAAACCTTTTTCTTTTGTAAATTGTCGTCTTGGGTGTGTCTTTATCAGCAGTGTTGAAAACAGACTAACACACTTATGCTCTAAAAGCAATCAGCTATTTTTTAAAAAGTATCATTATGAACCATGGATTTAAATATATTTGATAAGTTTCAATTCACTGTAATTATTCTTGTGAATGACATTCAAATTATTCTGTCCTTAGCTAGTGGGTACCTTGTCAATTTGGTTTCTGAGACCCTGGTAGTGTTTGATAGCTACCTTGCCATGGTATGACAAGCTGTTCTAGGTTCATCTTACACATTTCCTTCCTTAAGCCTAGAAATGGAAGTTTCTCCTAGAAGCCCTGGTTTCTTTAAATAAGGAATTATTTCAAGAACACAATCCAAACAATAGGGAGAGTCATTACCACTGGGTTGGTCATTGTTTCTAGGTGTTTTCAATAGACACAGAGACAGAAAGGAAGAGAAGAGAGTGGTGAGAGAGAGAAAACTCATGAATTCATATCCAATACTTCCAGTTTGAATGTAAGACTACAGGACTTTTACTTAGTCTCCAATCTATTACATCTGTATCTCTTTTCTTCTAAACTGAGAATCTTGGTTCTCAAGGACACAGACTATGACAGAATCAGAATATTCCATAATTACGCATTTGTTTTTTATCTCATATTATACACTTAATAGTCTCAAAATAACAATCCTAATGCTACCACCAACAGAAGTACTGAAAACACTATAAAAGGTTTTGCATGTGCTATCCCCCCTCTATCCCCATCCTTTTAGCGATTATATACTATTTTCTCTTCCTCTTAGCCTTCATTTACTCTTAGTTCTCCCATGAAGTCTCTATTGCAGCTCAGCAAAGTCTGTAGGCTGTCACTCTGCTCACCTGTTACCTGAAGCTCATTTTCTAGCAGGCTCTTCAGAAAGATCTCATGAGTTCTCATGCCCTTTTTTCTAGAAAGTAAGTTTTTCCAGACACAAAATGCTTGGTACATACTTTTTTTCCCTTGAGAATCTTAATTACGTTACCTTTTCTTTTAACCTAATGTATTGCTATTGAAAAAAATTGAAGTTTATCTAATTATAATCTCTTATAAATCATGTGCTCTTTTCCCCTCTAAATATTCAAAGGATTTTTAAAAATCAAAACCCCTAATTGTGGTAGAATGTCTTGATGTTATAATTCTGGGTTGATCTTTTTAGGTGTATGGTGAACTCTTTCAATATGTAACTTCTAATCTTTTTTCCTT